GGCGGTCGCCATTTCTAGCTGCTAGGTAGCGCAAGCTACTATCCGTTATAAAGGTTGCAGCCGTTAGCATCCATCCATCCATCCTTGAGCACGAAGCGTGTGATTCGGCCCGAGTTATCTTGCCGACCGCCAACTCTGCGCTCACATTCGATACGAGCTGAGCCGAATTTACGCCGAACGCTGTCGCAGCTCTCGTGTCCCCCCAAATCACGTTCCCAAACAATGGCAACGGACCCGGAGGATTGGCGCTGTAGCTCTTAGATGGCGCGCACTTTTGAAAAAAAGGTAGGCGACTCCCCGAGCTTTAGGTATACACACCAACACAGAGTTCAGAAACAAGCACGCTTTGACCTCATCGAGTGTGGGCATTGCGCATGCGCAGTGCCGACTTCAGCGCCACCGCCGTGGTGTGACGTCAATGAGTTGAGTTTGTCTATGCGGTGTTATGAAGCCCAGACGATGTGCCCTGTCGCGGACTGTTTCAGCATTTCTGGAGGGCGGAAAAGCGTTCCTATGCGACTCCAGACGAAGCTTCAGATAAATGGCAACCCTGATTTTTAAGCACCATAATGGCTTGCGTGTCGTTACTATAAAGCGCGGCTTATTTCGTGGCGCCGGTCGTGCCTCCCATGCCCTTCGGCCTGGTTGCGTATGCAGTGCTCAACGAAACGAAAGGACCAGCGGAATGCGTCCAGCAATTCCTTTAGAATGGCGAAGCCATATATGGTTACTTTACGACTACGAGTGCCGGAACGGGCCGATGGGCCTCTCGCTTGAAGGCCTGATCACCTGATTCTCGACGTCAACGAAGCAACAATCGGCCCGATTGTTCCTACCGTATTTCCCTATGTGGCTGTTTAAGACTGGCAAAACAACATTGTATAAATATTTATAATGCAATTAAATTCAAAGGGGCAAGCGAGCTGGACAATAATGGTGAAAATAATCCCTGGAGAAGGGGAACAAGAGGGACAAGGGACAAATGTTTGTCCCTTGTCCCTCTTGTTCCCCTTCTCCAGGGATTATTTTCACCATGTATAAATATGTTGTTTTCCGAGTACTCGGCAAAGCGAGTTCGCCAGACTACTTTCCAAGCCTGCACGTCTATTTTCTTTGACTTCAACAATTTATCTAAAATTCACTTACTTGATGCGCCGTATACTGCAGTAATCCACTTCTGTCGCCGTGTTGCTTCCCGAGATCTCGAAAAGAACCGGTGAAGTTTGACGCTTGAGTTACCTTCTCGAACCGCGGCAGTCTTTCACGCAACAGTAGCGACGTTTATTTATTTTTATTTTTTTATTAATTTATTTATTTTATTTATTCTTTTTTGAGGGGGGAGGGGGGGGGGGGACTCTAGGAGTATAGGCGAGATGTCACAGGAACCCGGTGAGGTCATAGAGATGTGAAGCTGGGACTTACTTTTACAAAAAACGTTTCCATAAAAGGCCCACGCGGATCCGAAATGCCACTCTCACACGTGGTTTCTAAATACGCCCACCTGCAGTCCCCGCGACCCGGGCCGTCCTGGCCTACCCGGTATTTTATTTTGTAGCCGCTAGATTGCGCAGCGTGTAGTGCCTACTGCATTGCCGGTTGCCTATCCAGAATGTACCGCACTATTTCGTTCTTGCGCAGTAGACTGCATAAATTTCTGGTTGATCCTCTGTTCTCGAAGCAGAAAATATTGAAGAGAACCACGCTTGCTAAGGCTCACAAACCCAGTAACCGTGTTGCCTACTCCACACGTCGCCGTAACCGCTGGTTGTACTACACTGGCGGCCTCCATATGCAATCCATGGCCCCGTCGTGTTCTCGCGCGTGCGCAGACAATTGCCGAATTTTTGCCGAATCTTTGCCGAACTTTCCTTCAAAAGTTCGACATGTGCCGATCTTTGCCGAACCTAAAGTTCGGCAGATTCGGGCCATCACTAGTTTGAATGAAGCCTTCGGACGAACATTCTTTCCCGGCTAGAGAAATTGGAAGGGATAGGGTAATCGTCCAGAGGTGAAAGGCCAGTCTTATACCCGTGCCACACGGGCAACTCGAATGCCATTTACAACGAATGACCTTTGTGTGATCGGCGAATCAGCTCGCAATCTGTCGCGCGTGGAATGCGCTACGCCCGGAGTGTCGCGCGCTGATTGGCCGTCCGCTCAAATGTCATTCGTTGTAAATGGCATTCAAGTTGCCCGTGTGGCACGGGTATTATTTCCTGTCCGTTCGCTCCTCCTCTTTGGCTTCTTTGGGGTCTGGTGCCAAGTGTTCACTTGTGTCGAAAGAACTAAGGTCGCCTTGTGAGGGTGGAAAGATGTGTAGTTTAACCACTGATCCCTATGACAATTGCTGGATCGCGTTTGCCCGCTCCGGGAATGCGGCCACTGGGAGCAATCTTTTTGGTAGAGCTATATTACCTCTAGCCAATGTACAGCTGCCGCAGCCACTATCATCCATCCATGGCAGACAGCGTTGTGGCAGTTCTGGTTGCAGGCTGCCATCAAAATAGCGTGGGTGATATTTCGTACTTGATAGAAATTGTTTGACGAAACATATTTTTGAAACCCGGCGTGAACGGTAGCCCGATTTTTGAGGACCCGGTGAAAGTTTCACGAAATCGCAACACCGCGGGAAAAAGCAGCACAGCACGCATCGAAAGTCGCATCGAAAGAAGCATCGAAAGCAGACACCGGTACGGAGTCTGCGGAGTCTGCTTTCGATGCGAGCTGCGCTGCTTTCCCCCGGTGTTGCGCTTTCGTAGAACTTTTGCCGGGTCCTCAAAGTTCACGCCGGGTTTCAGGAATCTGCTTCGTCGAACAACTTCAATCAAGCACAAAATATCACCCACGGTACAGTGTGTGTACTAGATCTACGGCTATTTATATTACTGTGATGGCTAGAGATAATATAACTCTACCAAAAAGGTGGCCGACCGTGGCCGCATTCCCGTCCACAGGCGGAGCTGGTCAAACGCGATCCAGCAAATAGACATAGAGATCAGTGAGTTTAACCCTCGAGGCATCGTCTGCTCTCTGATTCCCGGGTAATCCGCAGTGGCCCAAGCTCCGTGCAGTTTTTAAGCCCCGGCTTTGAAGTCGAAACTTTTTGGCTCGAGACTTGACTTGTTGTACCGTTCGATTCCTGCTACCAATTGCCTCGAGTCATTCGTTCACCGCTGGTTTTGAGTCGGTGAAGGTGTGCAGCGTTTTTGGAGTTCCTCGAGTGTTTATTTCATTTCTACAGCCCAAAAGGGTCAGAGAGCCCATTGGCACGCTGGCGCCATCTTTGAGGTGACCCTTGAACTGCATTTCCATAGAGCGAAGCTCGGTGTTGCGGTATTCGCGAGATCCAGGTGGTCGTTTATAACATTGTCAAAAGATTTTTTTTTTAGCTTAAAAAAATGATGCGCAAAAAATACATTTATACGCGGAAATTTAAGTGTTTTCACGGCTGCCCGATTGATGGAGCCAGTGTGTTCTCTCTTCCAGAGGCGTATATTGGGAGAGTCTGGCCAGTAGGCGTGGCTACGAAGACGCTGGAGAGGAGAAAATGAAAGGAAAGGGGAAGAGCGCCGAAGGAGCGAGGGGAAGGAGGGAGCCAAAACGAAACGACTGCCATTTTGACGCAACACGCTTCCGGCGCCGAGCACTGTTGAGGCTAAGAGTCGTCTTTTTCATCCACCGAGGAATAACACTGCATCATTTTCTAGCCAAAGCCAGCGAAATTCGGATGTCGACCCCATGCCTTCCCTCGGGCGAATTAATGAAAATGGCGGTTCTCCCCGCACAGCTGGGTGCAGCCGGGAGTTCACGCACTTGCGCCTCGCACTCTGCGCCGCGGGCTGATTGGCTCACTGGAAAGGGGGCGTTACGGCGGCGAGAACCATAAGCTGACCAAACTCTCCCAATATACGGCTCTGCTCTCGTCGTAAGAGATCCCTAGAGGTTTTAAAGGGATACTTCAACGAAATTTGAAATATTCCTGTCGTGTTCAAAAATAGGTTGAATATGATCCACAATATCCGTAAATGACAATCGCACGTTTGTATTTTGAGCCTGGTGGCTGTATTTTTCGTTATAAACGGCCCACTCTGGCAAGCGCTCGGAGAAGGCCCAGCGGAGACAACGTGACATCCAACGCAATCGTGACGTAGGTCGTCTCAAGACGAGCAAAGCTACGGCGAGGCTGACGTCGAGAGGATGGCCTAGTCGTTCCAGCCACCGAAGCGGCTGCTTTTGTACGAATTTTGAGTGACGGGTTAATCTTCTGTAATCTTGTAGGGGGACAATAGCGACTTCTGCGACAGACAAAAGGCATTCTCGGGAAGAAGGGAGTTCCTCCTGCCCCTCTTCTCTCGTCGTGGCCGGAGTCGAGACAACCTCCGTCACTAGCTGTCAAGGTTCCTAGACGGCCATTACAAGCGAGGCGTTAGCGACATCCACCAGGTGCTCTTTGCTAATCGTTTAATTCGTTTTAAAATTCCTTTTCGTGACTTTTTTTAACAAGATATTGGTATGTTCGATGTGATGCTGCTTTTTTGAATACATATAGACCAAAAAATGAGCGCCGAAATTTCGTTGTAGTATCCCTTTAAGGCACTCGGTCATAAGCTGTCGCCATTTTGTGAACCAGCCTTCACGCTTAATTCGTAGTTCATGGATGATAGAACTCACTGTAAAGATGCTTGCTTACAACTTTCCGATATACAGAAAGATAATGTAAGACTAAAATTGCTCGTATTTAACCATAGTGGAATTACTTATGCGTCACATAGGACTGCTGTTCCACGTCGATCATCCAGGTGTCAGGCATTTTGATAGACGCCAGCACGGCCTATATAGTATACGTCGTGAGAGCTACGAAGTCCGGTGATAACTATCAACGCTGGTTCGACACCACAGTATACGTTCTCAGTGACGATATTCTTAGTCGTGGATTTTGCATTGACTCCGACATGCCCGTGTCGGCGTCGCCAAAAATGCCCACAGATGTAATCACAGAATTGCACTTCCAATACTTTATTAAAAATACTGCGAGTTACAAATTCGTGGTACAGTACAAAAAATCTTGGTCGGCTTTCTTAGTTGCAGAGCGCAGTATATGAAAAAAAAAAAAAAAAAAAGAGGCGATACAAGGCGGAATATATAGGAACTGCAATGTCCCGAACATCGACATCCACATGAACGGCAAGGACCTCAAAACTGCATAGAGACGACCCACTTTTAACAATAAGGCTTGACGTCTGTTACCGTTTTTTTTTTCTTCTTATCTACCGCTACTACCTACTTTGAGAAAACAACCACACAGATCGTGGATACATCTGAAAAAAAAAAAAATAATAAAGCAAAGAAAATAGCGAGAAAAAAAAAAAAGCACGCGCGTTGACATTCTTCTTTGTCGTCATCACCATCAACAACACACTATCACTACCACTCCGTTTGTATATACATAAAATAAGATTTTTTTTATTATTATTAATATTATAGAAGGCAAAAAATAACAAGACTTCGCCTCATCCAACGTATTCTCAGGTTTCAATAAAGACAGGCATGAAAACTGAAGCCGAGAAAAACAAATGCATTTCTTTGTGGTGTGCATAAAAAGCGGCTACCGTTGATAGTGAAGTTGCAGGCTGTCAAGGAAAAAAGCAATAGCCACCTCTGATCCCCTCCTCTGTTCTATAGTCTGCTGCTTTGTATCGGAAATGCTGAGATTTTATTGGCTAACAACGCCTAACTGAGTTGCTTTCGGTGGCCATGTTCCCATGATGTAAGCAGTGTGGTGCGGTCGCAGGTGTTCTTGAGGGCAACGTGCGGCATCCTTGGGTTCATCTTCTGCCGTCTGATTGGCTGGTTGAATTTTAAAATGCTCCTATCTTATTGGGCTGGCATTTGGCAAAAGAGCGGTTGAGGATGATCGGGGCCCCATCTCTTTGTGGACGCCTGCTATCTGGTACGGTTTCAGACAGTCTGGAAAGACAAGGCGTGGCCATCTTTGGTTTATATATGGCTCTATGATTGGTCGCTTCTGCTTCACGCTGAAAGTTAATATATTATATTGGCTCACAAGCGATGGGAGGGCCGTTGAAGATGCCACTTTCTGCATTTCCTATGCTGCAAGCGACAATTGAAGGCGACTATATTCGGCTTTTTTTTTATGTTGCAGGCACTTGGTCCAGGCCAAGGGTGATAGGACGGTTCTGTTTCAGTTCGTGACAAACACGAAAAATGATTCCATCTCCGTTTTATTTTTCTCTCTCTTATATCTACCGGTTCGATCGGGCCAGCAAACCGCTGCCCCGTTTTCATAAACGCCATTTCGGTCACAGCATTCGCGAGTACAAAAAAATTGGTCCAGGGAACGTCTATGATAGGCTTAACCCTGTCTTTCTCTCTCTTTCAATCTCTCTCTCTCTCTTTCTCTTTGTGCGTGTGAGTGAAAGAAGGGTAGAGGGAGGAAGGAATATTAGGAAAACGAGAGTGTAAGGCTCGACAATAAAAAAAAAGTTTTTTTTTCGTAGTGCTCTTGAAGAGTATCGTTGTTTAGAAGATTCCCGACGGCCTGCCTCCGGAAGGGTACTGCACGTGACCATTAGGGGGTGAGTCCAGGGGTGAAGTAGATCCATTGCTGCTGTAGCCATCTGCAGACAAAACGAATTAAACAAAGGGACAGATCAGTCGGACACCGGGGACGTTTGTCGGATGAAAACAGAAACACCGTAAAATCCCGAGAGATCGAACACCCTCGAAAGATCGCCCATCCTAAAAAAATCTAGCACTCCCGAAAGATCGCCCACCTTATATTTTCCCCTCGTATCTCTTCACCATGTGTGGGCGTTTATTCGGGATATTACGGTACGCTGACGATAGAAACACAAAAAATTGTGCTCCTGAACTGCAGTTCCCGCATTCTGTAGCAGTGACAGGAATGTTCTGGTTTCTTTCTTTGTTTTTCAACGTTACCAACAACAAACTTATGCCGAAGAAGAATTATCCAGAAAAATTACACACCTCCGTGTTTAATCCAGAATTATTCACTCCAGAAGAGTGCGTGCCTTATGTCGTCTGTACACTCCTGTGCTGGTGTAGTTCTGCGAATATTACGGCCTGGCTGAACCAATCCGTGGGCGCGGTACTCAAAGTCGACATGTTAATTTACCCTACCGGCGCGCTTACATAGCCATACCAAAGCCCCTATGTATAAGAACGAAAGTAGCACAATTCATTGTTCAAAATGTTCCTCCTCGCTGGCGCCTCCGTTCAAGATATGGCGTCGTAAATCCAGGGAGGGCGAGGCTGGGGGGGGGGGGGGGGGGGGGGGGGAGGGAGTGTGGGGAGGGGGGAGGGGGGGTGGAATAGCGTTACTTTTCCATTCGTTTACGGGGGCTTTGCGCTGTATACCAGCCTGGCTGAGATCGCCCGCTGTCCAGTGAGAATAGTAAATTTAAGAATACTGTACCCCAAAAATTTGCGTACGCAAAAAAAAAAAAAAACAAACAAACAAACAGCGACGTTGTTATTGCGCTTTTTCCGAACCCAATCCGCATTTCGGATTCGCACTATTTCTTTGCTTGGGAAAAGCTTTGCGTAAGCAAATCCATCAACTGGCGCGCTTATGCGTCTTGAGCAAACGGACAATGATTCATACCAAGTGTCTGGTAGCCTCCTTCGCGAGTCGCACTTATAGAAATTGCGTGGTAGCAAAGCAAGCAAGCGTGCTGCGACGTGTGGTATCAGTACACAAGATAATATGTAGTCGACGCGGACAGCTCTTATTAATAAGCGCGTGAGTGGCGCAGCCTTTGTGGACACTGGAGGAACACAGAACGAAACGCTGCGTCCGCGCAATAGCCCCGCTATAGTTTTCGCGTCGCTAAACCGTTCCCTCATAGCCAAGCATAGTTCTGTACTCACTCATGCCGCCATGACCGTTCTGCTTGACATTGTACACATCGCCAGTGATGGGGTTGCGGGACACTGTAAGGAAGCGTGCGAGATGTGTTGCGCCTTGCAAATAGCATTATACAGCCATGCTAGTTCATGCCGCACAGCCTAGCACATGTACGATGCAACTAGTTGTTCCAACAAACCGCGATATGGCGGACAATAATTTTCTGTCTACGATTATGATTGACGTGTTCTCCATGACACGTTGCATTAGTGCTCGAGTAAAAGACGAGAATTTCTGCAGTCAACCAGACATTGGTACATTGAGAAGCAATAATTAAGCGTTTCTTTTTTTTTTTTTGTTAAAATTGTTTTAGGTACTTATATGCTCTGGACCCCAGGACGTTTTCAACGTATTCAGTTTGAGCTTAGACGTTGTAGGGCTATCCAGATACCAAACTTGCGTTATCTGTTCTCCACCTAAAGCTAGGATACCTGCATTAAGGGCAAATTGCTGAGTCATGCTACGTTGCCGTTCCCTCAGTCATACAGACATCGCGTATCGAATCTTTCGTGTGATACGATATGGTGATTACGTTTTATCCATTAAGCGACGGGTCAAGTATAGCCTGGCCAAACGTACGGCACTTTCTCGTCTTCAACTGTTGAGCTGGCAGCTGTACGTCCCATCTCAAGAGCTGTATGCAGCTTTGTTGTAATATGAAGCACAAGGACGATCGTGTTACTTTAAAAAGGTGCTTCTTTGTGAGGATGCTCAGGAAACGTGAACTACAGCTTCAAACGGAAACAGTAAGTACGGCCTCTGGGGACCGCCATCTTGCTGAGAGCGTGTGTATAGATCGTCTGATGGTCAAGCTCTGCTAATACGTGCCCACTGTTGCCACACTTACACCCGCACAAAGCATTCTTGTCCACGGTGGCCAGACTAGCTTTTGAAGCGAAGTTGCTCGCAAACGTCTATAAATCAGGATTGCGCGCTCTGGTCAGTCAAAGGTTGAGCTGTCGTTAGCTTTTCGTAAGCGCGCTCGCTATAAGCTTGTGTATATGGTTATGCAGCAGTTAAAAACAAGCGTGTGCACTCTTTAATAAATGCTCGACTACTTTTCAGAACATTCGAAGGGTCAGTCGCCGCATCAATCTAGCGAGAGGTAGCTCGGCAAATGAAGAAGCTGTAAAATACGTTTAGACCTAAAAAATGATGTCTGCGATAGTCATCGCGCCCTACCTTTTCTCCGGTGAAGTTTTGGCAGTTACTGATTTACCTAAGATTTGGTTCGGCACACTGACAGACAACTCTGGACTAATAACCAAAATTGCGTCACAATAACTTTTTTTTCGAGAAGTTATTTGAGTCTTAAATGGATCTGAGGCGCAAAATATCTTTACTAAAACACACACACAAAAGTAATGCCAGATGTAACATGGGGCAATACATGGGGCGGTATACCGCTTGGTTTTGGCATTACATTCATTTGCCGTTTTCTCGATAGCTGTTTTGAATTCAGAAATAATAGCACGCTGGAAATGTGAAAAGCCTGTATTCCAAAAATGTGCTTTAGTATCGGTTGCTAGAAAAAAGAAAAAAAAAAAAAAAAAAAACGCTAGAGCTATTAGTGTTTCGAAGACCGTCGAGACCCAGCCGGGGCCGGCGACGTCTTCGGATGGACGGCTATAGCGAGACAGCGCGTCCCTTACCGAACTTCTTGGAGGCCGACGCTGGCACGGGGGCCTGCGGGGCCGGCGAGTCCACCTCGCTGAAGATGTTGGACTTCATGCGGTCCACGATGCGCCTGGGCGTGCCCACGTCCTCGGCGCCGAACAGGCGCTCCTGGCTGTTGTCGCTCAGACGACGTCGGGTGGGCGTGCTGGCGCCGCTGGAGGGCGTCGTGGGCAGGTCGTCCTCGGACGGCGTGAAGATGGACGACTGCTGGTAGTTCTTCACCTTGCGGGGCGTCTGGAGGCTCAGGTCGCCGGGCGACGACGGCTGCGGGGACCGCACCCCGAAGATGTCGCTGTCCTCGCCGCCGGGAGGCTTGATCACCCTGCGCGGAAAAGCGAGGACGATTGTTTCGGTTAAAAAGGAAAGAGGTCCTGGGGCCGCGGTTACGCTGCCGATATACATCGCACAAAATACAGTCAGCAGCGGACGTTGTCTGAGACGCGCTTCTTCCTTGCATGTCATGCAAAAACTGCCTTCGGCAGACATGTTCGAAGGATACGTACACTACGCATGAAGGAAGCGTGCTTCGAACGTATGCTCTAGGCGTGTCCGCGAAAAAATTATGTCCCCATGTCTGAAGAGAAACTCCGTGTCTTTTTGTATGTCGTTCGAGCATGTGTGACATCGGCTGCGGTTGTGGACACCGGAAATGCCTCGGGCGGCGCTGCCGAGCTGAATGGATGATTTAGAAAGACCCGGAAACGCACCTGGCAACCAGACAACCTCCTTCGAGTGGCATATGAATAGAAGTTACGCAAATAGTCGAGATATCCGCTGGAAGCGATCAGAGCGTCTGCCACTAATCTTTCCATCAGTCTGGACTTCTGAAGGCATAAATACCCCCTCCCCCCTTTTCTTCCCAAACGACACACACACATACGCGTACAGTTTACGGTCCTGGTGTTTTGGACTTTCTCAATTGAAATTGTTTTTTTTAAGAAAAGGCAACGAGGAAAGAGACAGAGGCGTAGACAATGGCGTCTCCCGAGAAATGGAACAAAAGGCGGGTCTTTTGTCACGCGAATTCTTGTTTTCTATGTGACCAAGGCTCACGCCATGTATGAGCAAGAGAAGGATTCTTTTTTCTTTTCCCCTTTTAAGCGTGTCCCCGATAAAAAGCATCTCCGGAAGTGGGTGAGAACGAGCTTCCGGAGTCGAGTCGCTCCATCACTCCGGCTATAATGAAACTCCGCTTTATGCACACGGTCGCTGAACAGGATCCAGAAAAGTCTGTGATCGTTTATATTCTCTAGGAGCCACACAAAGGAACCCCGACTAAGAAGTGTCTGTTGAGGTAATCGTCTGCTAAAGACAAAAATCTAAATACTCCGAAGAGTCTGCTTTCTTCTGTTTTTGCGGCTGTCTGCTAAATGACTGTCACGAAGAACAGCCTTTTCGCGGACGTCTCTTTAATGGCATGGCCATATAATACTTGACCCACATAGTTTTAAACTCGTATACCTTCGCGTACATAGATGCGAAAACATCGTACCTTCGCATACATGAATGCACTAACCGTTACCTAAGCACTAACCGTTACCTGATTCAAAAGTTCTCGGTAGGTGGTGGCATTCAGCTTAATGTATTCGAGGGTTCCGTCGGCCTCCATTTTCCGATTGAAAATTTTAGAAAATCACTTAAATATTTTGAATAAGGTAACGAACGGTCTGTTCTGAAACTCCGGCATCCTTTTTTTTCGGACCGCTAGCCCTACACGTGGGTGGAGAATGAGCGTTGGGCAATGCGTAAACTACTTAAAAAAAGATGAAAAAAAATTTTTTTTGTTGCTGTACTTGGACGCACGAAAATTGTACCTTTCACATACATTAATGCACATACTGATAATGGTATTTGATGGTCGCTTTTAGCCGGGTCGACAATATGCGGCGTCCGTCAAGCCTGCTGCACGCGGTAACGTGCTTAAGCCTATTCTGCGACTCTGTCCCCGCCAACCCTTTTGATTCCGAAGACCTTCGGTCGCGTCGCCGGAGCCACCGTAATTACAGCCGTCATCCGTCGGCCTCCAAGGCAAACTCCTGCGAATCAAATGCGCTTCCGCACTTTTCAGCGCCGCCGCTGAATTAGGGGCACAGCCAGCCAGTGCCACCTAGGAGACACAAGGCCTCCTCATGACGTCATCGTTGTTGGACCCCCCTCCGACCCGCCCCAAGTGGCAAACACTACGAAACTCGATGAGAACCGCTGCAAAGCGGTAGACACGTCCGTCTTGGCGTCACCGCCTGGTAACGTCGCGTTCGTTGGCCCAGGCCTTGTCATCTATGGGTGGTATTGGCAGAAGAAGAGCAAGCAGACGACAAATAGCAAACGTTCTTTTTTTTTTTTTTTTTTTGCTGCGTGATTTCCGGTGTTAGACGCGCGGGAGCGGACAACAAAAGATCTGCCAGTTTTTGATGAGTAAGCCTAATTACAATCCTCTTGATGTTTGCGTTTTAAGGATTGTGACTGCAAGCATACGTTAGTAAATGCGTTTAGTGCAAAGAAAAAAGAAAATGTGATTGTGTCATTGCTTCTTGATTGAAATCATCTGAAAATGCAGGGATAAATGACAAAAAAAAAAAAAAGGAAAAGGGGGAGGTGGGGGGGGGGGGGGGGGGGGCGGAAACGGAGTTAGGTGTAGTGGATGAGACCTGCTGAGCGAAAGGAGCTGCTTACTGCGTACGAACTGCTTTTGACGAGTTAGGACATTGCCGCCATGTACCGGGTAGATCCGCCTCACTACGGGTTTGCGCTTATTTCCTGCATTTTTACGAATCATGCTTTCACAGTGGGCACGGAATAACTCTTTAAGTTTTACAGCTGGTCGCTTGTAACTGATATGAGTAGGATTCCGTGTTTTCGGAGTTTATTTCTGTTTGATTCCTAATTATCTAAAATTCAGAGTTTATTTTACTTCAATCCCAACTTCTATAATAATAATAATATTGTTCGCGTACCGTGACCCGTTGTCCTGGAGGAACCTTGACGAGCTAAAAGGCAAACCCCTTTTGAGCAACAATAATATTCCCCGGAGAAGGGGGACAAAGGACAAACACAGATCTCCAAACACACTGACTGGTGCGCGACTGGAAAAAGTCCGCCTGTTCCTGGTATCGAACCAGGGACCTCTCCAACTGAGCTAAGTACGAGCTAGACGTCAGTAGAGCAAACGGATTTGAACAGCTGCCTTCAATTATTATTGTTATTCTTGTCCAGCTCGCTGCACCTTCGCATTAAAGGGGTCATGAAACGATTTTCCTACTTCTTCCTCCTTAGCTTTAATCCTCAACTCAAATGCGAATTGTGAAATCACGTGGTCGTGACATTCCTTCGGCACCGGTGCGATGACTCCTAGCTTCCACCGTGCTTTTTATGCACACCATTGAGCTTGTCACTCCCCAGTGGCAATAAGTTCCGTCAGGGCACTCATTGGCCACGAACGCGAATCCAAATATTAGTCGACGGATTGATTGTTGACGAGCGCATACGTCCGTGTGACGCAGTTCTCGTGTCCTATGCGTGAGCTGGGCTCTGCTGACGCCACTTTGGCGCCGCTAACGCGCTTTTGGAACCGCGGATGTGTCATAGTGAAAAGGCGGAGAGCTTTCGAAGGCAAGAAGGTACAAAATAGTTCGCTATTTTTTCAAATGTTCGTACGGAAAAGTTGGTTTTTGACTTTCTAGCCTCTTTCGTTTGGCCAACTAAACGAATGCGATTAGTAAAGTCCAAATTTAAAATCATTCATCCCAACCCAAAATTTGTTTCATGGCCCCTTTAATTGCACTAACATCAAAACCCTTTTGAGTGAGATTTCAAAGGAAACTGAATTGTGACATTTGCTCAGGTTCACTGAGCCTGTGCTCTCATAAACTTTATTTGTAAAACGCCGTCTTTTTGCTTTTTATTTTGTCGTTTTGACCTCAAAATTCTGAGTTTTTCGTATAAATTCGAAATTGACAAAAAAAAAAAAAATGTACCGACGAGTGCTTTTTTTTTCGGATTTATTTTAAAACAATGAACTTTGCATATAAGCGGCCATTTCTCATATACATAGTGCGTAGAGTTGATATCGCAAACGCTGCAAACCCCTTAGTCTAGTTATTGGCAGGTCGGGAGCGCTTCCAGGGTTACCCAATAGATGTCGCCAGTGTAGTAGCCTGTTCTCTTGTCGCAAAGCGGTCGGATGCGGTCGCAAGGCGCTCGGTCACCCTCAGTCGCAAATGTGTGACGTTGCTGCGCCTATCGGACCTTGCAACCTAAAATTTACAGATGATTGGACATGACAAGCCGTCCAATCATCTTCATGTAACTCTCGACCAATGGGGTCACAGCCTGACATGATCAAAACAATCAAGAACCAATCGTCGAGCGATGCTCCATCGCAAAAATTAGCCATACTGTGCTGCATTTTTCTTAGTGTGGAAATTATTTCAGGGTGGAAACGGGGGATTTGATTTGATTTGATCGAACCTGATGCTCCTTACTCGTGCATTAAAATTGTGTTCATCGCGTGTCACTTGATTTTTGTGGTCCTTTCCTCAACAAGCTGACATCATCTATATTGAAGCTGCTACGATTCAGCAGGGCACGGAGTGTCGCTGCGAGATCTCCAGGGACACGCAGCAATCTATATACGTCGAGTGCATGAGTCAGGGTTATTTACTCCCGGTTGGATCGCCTAGTCGCCCCGCATCGATAAAACTGTCCCCTTCAATTTCGGTTCCAAACGGAGCCTCGACGTCGTTGATATGCGGCTTCTAATTTTGCTCAATTTTCAAGCGCGCGTGCCTCTTCCGTTTAAAAAAAGAAAAAAAGAGAAGATAATATATATATACTATATAAAGTAAAAAGAAAAATATCAACGATACATAATCCCGCGCCAAAATCCGTCCCTGTGGTTGGACACAAAGTCGGGGTGAGGTTTTATGGTCACGATCGACTCTGGTGGTGACTCAGGATTTGATCACCAAACACCGACAAGAAAAAAAAAATTATCATGACGACGAAGCGAAGAAACAAAAACCGGGTGTACAGCTGGAAAAGCTAATCACTATACGTGATCTGACCTGGCTTCCGGAGATCACGTGACTCAACCCATCCTCTTTTCTTCTTTTTTAGTAAGCGGAGGGGGTGTCTCCTTTTTCGTTCGTTTTTATTCTACAGTTGTGCCTGCTCTCATCGCTGAATTTATACAGCGACTCCCCGGTCGTCGAACATACGCATCTACAGGTGCTGTAATAAGAGAGGGGGGTTGCAGGAAATTTCCGATTTTTACTGCTGGCGACATTGGCGTCTGTGCCCTGAACAATGATTGTCCGTTGTGTT